ACACATACACCTCTCTCTCTCTCTCTCTCTCTCTCGCCTTTATTTTAATCTTCTTTATTTATTAATTTTTATAACCCATAAGCCTAACATTGTTATTTGGGTGACCCACAAAAGCACATGAATCACCACTAATACTACTCCATGTTGCCATTAGGGCACTAAACTACGATTAATATTATAAAAAAAAAAACATCAACGATGTTTGAAGGGGGTCTAATAAATTACTTCATACGCTACTTTGATAATGGTGAAAAATGAGAGAAATTTGGAACTTCAAATTTCTTTTTTCTTTCTTCTATGATTTTCCTTTCAGGTGGTTCAAAGAGAAGAGTCCCCTTACCCACACTAGGAATAGAACCCAGGACCTAATGTTGTAGCGCCCCACAACCCTAACCACCTAACCTTGGAACACATTCATAAAATTTTCATTTCACCATATTCAGGGAGGAAGAGTATGTGTGTACGTGTGTGAGAGAGAGAGCATTAGTGATTCTAAAGTGTTCCACATGAAACTCCAGAGTGTTACATTACATTATACCCTGCTAAACCACAAAAAGGTACACCCAAATAACCAATAACCAAAAAGAGATGCATGCTAAAAGCAATCACTTTTGCAATCAAAATCTCAATTACTCATCTCCCTAACAGATAATCTCAATCAAATTCTATCAGACCACACAAGAAAACAAGAGTGAGAAAGCAACACTTAGATTCTCCAGCCAAACTTAGGTCCTATGTCTCGGAAAAGGATAGAAACCAGAGACGCATGAATATCTCACTTCCTAGATGGCTTCTGGTTCTGTCTGGTCTTCTTCTTGACACCAGACTTGGCAACCTTGAGGCTCCTGTGCACAGCACTGAGTCTGGCAAGTGCTGCATCCTTCAAGTCTGGCCTGTAGTAGTTATCTGCAACCTGATTCAAAGATGCAAATGATATTAAATGCTTGTGTTTAAATGATTAGGTTTGGCATGTATATGATGTGAATACGTTTTATGATATGAACAACAAATCCAATACTTGAAAGAATCATAATTCCTAAACAGGTTGGCCAATCTTTCAGAGGAGGCCTAAGAGCATTAAAACAACCACAAAACAGTATTACGTCAAAAAGGTATGATAATTCATCGCCCTCTCTCTCTCTGTGAGAGAGAATGCAGTATAGTCATACACAGAGGCTGTATTACACTTGGTTCAAAATTTCAAAATGAAACACAGATTCATCTCAGTTTGTGAATCTGGATTATAACACCTGCAAACAAACAACCAAACACTTACAACAAAAGATTACATTACATGAATAAATACAAAGTAATGGAAAAGCTTACAGCAAATTTATGAAAACCTACAATACCAGAAGAACACAAAAATACTGTGAGAGAGAGAGTGAGAGAGAGATAGATGTGCTCAGAAGCCAAGCGTAACAAATACATTTCACTGAAGTGACTCTTAATCAAAAAGCCCTTCTCACATGTTACTATTCATCATGGCACAGGCAACTTTGGAACAGGAGGTCAAAAATGAAAGGCATTACAAGACCTTTTTATGGATTAAAATCCCTTCCCCATGAGAATCGTCAGAGGGGGCTTAAGAGCATTATCCATAATCAAGTTGGCCAATCTTTCAGAGGAGGCTTACGAACATTAAAACAAACCACAAAAAACATTACATCAAAAAGGTATGATATTTTATCCCTCTCTCACGCTCTGTAAGAGAGATAATGCAGTATAGTCACACAAGATGTATTTCTCCAAGTTCAAAATTTCAAAATGAAATGCAGATTAATCTCAGCTTGAGAATCTGGATTATAACATCTGCAAACAAATAACCATACACTTAAAACAAAAGAGAAGTGATCTCAAGTCATCAAAATACAAAATAATGGAAAAGCTTACAGCAAATTTCTGAAAACCTACAATAACAGAACACAAAAATATTGAGAGAGAGAGAGAGTGTGTGTGTGTGAGAGAGAGAGAGAGATGTGCTCAGAAGCCAAGCGTAACATATACATTTCACTGAAGTGACTCTTGATCAGAAAGCCCATTCTCGCATGTTATTATTCATCATAGCACAGGAAACTCTGGAACAGGTGGTCAAAAATGAAAAAGTATTAAAAGACCTTTCGTAGAATAAATAAAATAAAATTAGCAAGTTAACTTCCTCCCAACAAAAGGAACAAGAGAAAGTAGTTGTAATTGAATCCCTCCCAACAAAAGGAACAAGAGAAAGTAGTTGTAATTGAATCCCTCCCCTACCCCGCCCCCCCCCCCCCCCCCCAACAAGAAAGGGGGGGAAAAAATGTCACTACATCAACCCTCCAAAAATGACTATAAGCCCCATGAACACGAAAAACAAGGTAGAAGAAATGATATATGGGAATAAATAATGATAAACTCCAAAGAATCCCAGCACAAAACATACTTGCTTGAGAAGCTCATATCTAAGATGAACTTATAGATTTTAAAGATAATTACTTACCGTTAAGCATCAAGATTGTTATAAGTCGAACAAGAAACAAATACTTACCCAAATAATAAAAAACAAAAAAGTTCAACGGTTAAACAGTGATGAGAAATATTGTGAAGTCCACCACACAACATCCAAGTCCAAAAAGATACTTCTGATGAAGTAAATCAATTACGTTAGGAATTTTTTCCTTATTAGGTGGTATTTGTCAAGGACCTCAATTGTCTTCCATTATGCCTTTAAAGTATTCACAGAAGCAAAAAGTCCTCATGACACTCTGATTACACAAGGTCTTGTATTTCTATGAAAATTCAAAGATAAAATCTATGAAAACTTTACCTACCCTATAGTGTATCTCCTATTGATTAGAAACTCTGCTTTTTTATTTGTAACTGTGTTCAATTAATATACACAAGTTTAAGGCACTAATGTAAATAAATATAAGTAAAAGGTCAGAAGGGAATGAAATCTACCATAAACAGAACATCTATGAAACAATTTGCATCTAGGTACACAATGATACCAACTTGTGGGTCAATGTCTAGATTAAAAAAAAAATGAACATCCTGATCACTTATGCTCAGTAAATCAACCTTCAATATAAAGTCATGATTAACTAACAGGAACCATGGCATGCCCTTTAGTGCCACAGCACCATCAGAGATTGGAAAGAACCAAAAAGCATAACAGACAACAAAATTTTCCAAATCCTCAAAGTTAAACTTAATTATTTTAACCAGATGGTATCTGAAGTTCCAAAATCAAGCAAAAAAATGACTGATATGCCAAAAGGTTACCAAAAATGATCTCATCATTGCTATTTTCAATTGCTTATCTGATCCTTGCCCTTATTTTGTGAATCTCAAGCCTCCGGGATTTATGTAATCTCCCTGTTGATATGCATCTCTAGAAATTCCAATTTTTTATTCCACGAACATGGCATGTCTGCCACACCAATAGGCAAGCCCACAGAATGGACTGGCAAGTCACATGTTTCCATTTTGTAAGACATGTCTGCACTATTGGGCGAATGTTTTTATAATTTGACTTGTGTCTTTTATTTGGACCCGGAACATTTATCTCTAAATTTTAATATAACAAAGTCACGAATTTATGCTACTAGTGAAGGATACATGCTCCGCATGTGTTTTGAGTTATCGATTGTCAGATATTCTTATTTCTATTTGTGCTAAAGAAAATATTCGATGGAAAAAAATTTGAAATTGTTTTTAGTAAAGAATTATACTCAAGTCTATTTGATATAAAATCTCTCTTTTCTAATAGCATAATCAAATGAAATTGTCCAATATGTACAGATAAGTCAAATTTTTTCTCTGCTTTTGTCCATATGGTATGCATCAAACAGATGGCTCCTCAAAGGCTTGCGGATAGGCTCGGCTCAAAAGTTTGAATTATGGTGTTAACCTAATATTGCACACCAGGGATTCTCCCTCTCAAGACACAATTCATTCCTGTGGCACAAGTGTAACTTTTTATATTCTGTGAAATACAAGGACTTTACACAATTTGATGAAGGTGTATGTTGGAAGTCAATGACAACTTTTATTATTTTACAATCGATTATACAACACTTTTTTCGTTTTTAAAATCCCAATTTTATTTAACTCACAATTAAAGAATATTTAATAAATTTCAAACCTTCAAGATTTGAATTTTTTACATAAATTTTAGACTTTTGGTTTAAGAATTTCCATAAGTTTTAAAAATAATAAATTCCACGAATGTTTTATTCAAATCTTCAACATCTGAAATATGTCCACTTTGGTGATTTTAAAATTTTATATAACCAATAGCAATTGAAAATATAAATGACCATAGGTATTGAATTTATAATTAATAGTAGTAATAGTTATAATTTATACTTGATTTTTCTATGAATTAATGATATTGCTTAATAAACTTTTCAACACAACTATGTTTTCAACTCAACTGGAATTATTAATCCACTTTTTATATGGATATTATATTTTCTTAAATAATATTAAGAAATAACAGACCCTTCTAAAATTATTAAAATAAGGAAAAAGTTTATATGCAGGCAGCCCGCATGGTAACTCCCCATCACCACCATCGAACTTGTTGGAGATTGGTGTTGGATGGTGGTGATGGGAGTTACCGTGCAGATTGCCTGCACGCCAACCACATCCTTAACATAATAATAACCTTAATGCCTTTAAATGCAAAGTTTTGGTTCTTTTATGAGAAAAATCCAAATTTACTTTCATTGTTGATGTCGCATATCTAACCTCGGAAGGATAACGGAGAGATAGGAGGAATATTATGTGTGCACTTACAAGTGCATACTATGCTTCAACTCTCCCTTATAAAAAAATTTTAAAAAAGATTTTATTAATGAAGTTTAACATCCTAATAAACACTTTTAAAGAAGAGATCAAAGTTTCATTTTTACTAAGAGGTTTTAAACTAATAGATTACATATACAGCGTGCACCCCTGGAAGCATGAAAATAGGCGGGCCTTCAAAGTGACACCCAAACTGACCTATTCAATGGACACGCAAAATAGCCTCACCGAAATTTTCCTCGGTTTAGCAACAAGTTCCACCTTTTCATTTGTTTGCTTGGGGGAGTCGGCAAGGTTTTCTAAGCAGGGGTAAACCCTTGACCAGATACTATGTGCATATCCCCTCATGTAAAATATATACATAAGAAGTTTGAAAACGAAAAATTTTATGCCGAAGTTAATAAAGAACAAAGATTATAGTTCCATGACCTTGCAACATAGCCATAAACATTTCTCAAATTATGACTAGAACTCCATCTGGGTAAAAATTTATTGTCGTATAGGTGCTTATTCTATAGGTGCAAGGATGACCTTGCACAAAGAGTAGTAGACATGAGTAAGGTATCACTTGAGCGTTTTGCACTATAAGATCAGGGTTTGACTGTCAAGATGACCTTGTAGGTGCCGAGCAGAGAAAAGGTGAATAAGAACAATGATATTTTAATGTCCAACTGAAACATATTTACTACCCATGTCAAGACAATGGTGTTTAATTACAATAAACCAAGTACATAGAGCAATCTATAGGGATGTGTTGGAGTAATTACAAAACAAACAATGACCTTTTGTAGAAATCTTCTAGCTGTACCCATGGGCATGTAGATCAAATTCAACAAAGAAATTTCCATAAAAGATATCAAAAAAGTGCATCCCAATTTTCATAACAGGCAATAGTGTAGTCTTTTCCCTTTAGTATTTTATACCAGGTAATAGAGTAGCCTACCAGTAACATATTTGATGTGATTCTACTAACAATTATGATTCGATTTTGTCTGACAGTTCCAGTAAAAACTAGAGAAGATCAAATTTATAAGAACTTGTACAAAGCATCAAGAGGTATAGAAGAACACTTCAAAGCAGAACAAAAAATAAATCACTCAAATGAAAAGAAATGGAACCCCTTAATACCTGGCTTACAACAGCCTTTGCCATTCTACGGAACTCCTTCTTCAAGAGGGAACGGTTCTGCAGATCAGATGGCTTGCTCTGCTTCCTTGTCTTCGTGGTTGAAAGCGCAACACTTAAATCTTTTCCACCGGGAGTGATGGAAACTGTCTTCTTGTTTGCCAACCCTAACAAAGCACAATGACAAGGTATGTAAGTATAGAGAGACATGGTGATTTGAATCCGCATTCACCAACCAAATAACTAAGCGGGAACCATAGATCACATAAAAGAAGATCCAACAGTAATCTAAAATGAAATTAAAGAAAATCATACATGAATCAAAGAATGGAAATAAAGATTCACTTGAACCAAAAGGTTCTACATCTCTGAACAGTGAAATGGCTCAAATCTCAGAAAAGAAATATCATGACTCAATTGATTAACAATATAAAAAAGGCAGTAGAACAGCCAGTTGAATAGATAAAAATACTTTACAATTGCACGGAAGACATACCATATGCTATTTAAATGGTAAAAAGAATTAGAACCTATCAGACCCCCCAAAAAATCATGACAAGGAAAACCCCTAGATAATGAGAATCGCCATATATATAGAATCCTCAAAAAATAAAAATATTTTAAGTACAAGAATCCAATTATACGATGGAAAACTGTGCAGGCTTCTAAAAACACCCAAATAAAGAGCAACAAAACCAAACAACCAACATGAACAGAACAAAACTCAAAATTACTTCGAATTTGATAGAAGCAATAACATCATCCAATAACCTAAAGACATGAACTTAAAAGCAAAAGAAAATCAAAGAGAGAGAAGGATGGAAACCATTTTCATATAAAAATTACAAATAAGTAGAAAACTACGACCAGTGCAAAATGAATAAACCCTAAGAAATGAATATACACTTTAGAAATGAAATTTACAAGGATCTTTTTCCAAGGTAAATCAAACTTACAAACTTAATAACAAATGCATGTCCAAGAGAAAAGATTTAAAAAAAAAAGCAAATATTTGCACCAACATTATACAAATCTACTGGCAAAAAATGGATTCATGAACAATTAAAAACAAAGATCAAATATGATGACTACCTGAGTACTTAAAGGAGTGGACATTGTAAAGGTTGTTGCTTTCCTTGCTGAACTGAACCATGGCAGAACCATTACCAAACTGCTTCACAAAGAATGAGTTGTTCTTCTTGACGATTTCCCATATCAGAGGTCCAGGTAAGGTGGCCATCGTATTGATCTGTAGAAAAAAAACTTAATTAATTAGCAAAGGGAAATCCTAATAGAAACTCCAACGGAAGTCAATAAAGAGTGATGCCATCAAAGTAATCCATTTATTCATCGAAAATCAGAAAGAGAAACTAAAATACAAATGAAGATCACATGTAAGAACCATAAAGTGACAAATTTCAATATAGAAAGGAAAAACACAGAAACATGCGTAAATAAAAGTTGATGGTGAAACCACACATATTACTAGGTTTTAGTGATCTAATTGAATCAGGTGGAGACAGATAAAGAGAGAAAAGAAAGAAGAAAAGGTGAAGAACAATAGAACAGGAAAACTCGAGAAAAACAAGAACGATAGCAAAAGAAGATGGTAAAAACCAAGGCCTGACTGTTTTCAAACATCAAATAGACAAAAAAAAACAGTAAAAGCGCAATGAAAAATCAGATACAGAAAATGCACAAGCCAGATAACCTTATGGTCCTTATCAGTTGCATTGATCCACATTCAGATAAATAACTAAAAGAGATCACAAAATATATATATATATATCGAAAAAAAAGATAAACCCTAAATTCACCATTCCAAGTGATAAAAAATGCGAGGGAAGCTCGGGAAAAAAAAGGGAACAAAATGCAAGTTTAGCAGTTTCAGTGACCAATATGAAGCCCAGAAACCAGAAAAATAAATCCCCAAAGAAGAGATGTAACCCTAAATTGGTACCAAGTAAAGGAGGAAGTGATCACAGGTTCTTCCTTCTCCCTTTGCGAATTTAGACACCCCCCACAAAGAAGAACAGCACACTTCAAAATTTGAGTTCTTATAGCTTCGTCGTACTCCTGGAAACCCTAAGTTCACATCATAAATGACTAAAATACCTCTCATCTTCCGACTAAATTACGTGAATATCCTAAACCTTTTCCATTCGTTCCTTTGCATCAATAAATGAAATCGTTTGTCAAAGAAATGCATAAGGGCACGTTTGGTTTCGTAGGTAAGTTTTTTCGTGAAAATATTTTCGTACGAAAGAATAAGTAAAAAGTTTATATGAGTGCGAGGCTCTAAACAATCAAATTAAGGTGTACATCAAAAATTTCATTAGAAGAGGTCGTTTTGATGCTCAAAAATCTTCAAATTGATGATCTCGACCTCAAAATACATGAAAATAAAAAAAAAATGGATTTCAAGTTTTGGAAAAAGAGCATCTTGTAATGTATTTTTGGACCGTCAATTTTTAAGATTTTCAGGTTTTCATAGATCTGATCGATCCACACTACTTTTAAAGCTTTAAATTTTATAATTAGAGATAAAAATATATTTTAAAGCTATAACAAAGATTTCTAGTATTGAAACCACATTTCTCGATACTATTTGAATGTACGCTTTGATTGTTTTGAGCCCCGGCCTTATACAAATCGTACCACAAGAATAATGTGGTCTATAGGATCGGTGAAGCGTGTGCCGCCTAATCAAAGTTTGGACGTCAATGGAGAGTGAGTAGGATTGTTTATAGGTTGCATTGGAGCCTGCCCGAGCTAATGTACAGTTGCCCAGGGCTCATCCTTGCCTCCAATTTTAATTTCCGTCCGAGCCTAAATTCATAATAATGAGGCCTGTGTTGGTCTAGGCCCGATAATTAGGTTGAACTTTTCAAAAATTCAAAAAAAAAATAGATGAATATAAATATCGAAAAATTTTCAATATGGAAAAAGACTACTTAGAATATGTAAGGGTGTGGTTTCCATAAGCTTGCGATCATAAACAATCCAATTAAGGCTCACCTTCAAATTTGATTATAACATATAATTTTGATGTTAAATATTCTTAAGATTATCTCAATATCTATTTTCATATCTAATTATAAAATTTTAAACTCTAAAAATAGTTAAAATCAATTAGATCTATAAACATTTGAAAATTTAAAAAATGGATGGTCTAGATAATGTGTTGTAAGATGGACTATTTATGAGACTCAAAATCCTTTTTTCTTTCATAATCATATATCTCGATGTCGAGATGCTGAATTAGAGGGTCTTCAACATTAAAATAACATTTTCCGATGGATTTTTGAGGTATAACATTTTAAGGCTGCAACCTTATATAAACTTTTTCCAATATGTAATGCATTATACAAAAAAAAACACTTTTGAATGAAGCCCGGGGCCTTAACTTGTGGCCTAAACCTGGCTTGAAAACATTTCAAACCTATTAGGACGCTTCTATGAGCCGGGCCCGGCCCATGGGTGCACCCGCGAGTGAGCAGAACTCAACACAAAATAGCATGCCTATGGTGCTATACCTTTCCCCCCTTCGTCACTGCTCGTCCATTAATTGCATGATTATAAGCATTCATGGCCATGGATTATGTATGGGCACGGCAATATCTTTTGGACTGCGATTACCAAATTCGTCCATGTATAAAGGGTAAACCCTCCTTATTTTCTAAAGGGAAATGTTTATATAGAGCCGAAGCTCTATACAATCAAATTTGAGCTTACCTTAAAAATTTCATTAGAAGAGGTTTTTTTTTATGCCCAAATATCTGATCATCTCGACATCAGGATGCATGGACATGAGAAGAAAGTGGATTTCAAGTTTTGGAAATAGTGTATTTTTTAATGTATTTTTGGACCGTCAATTTTCAAGATTTTCAAGTTTTCATAAGATCTATAGATCTACAATTTTTTTTAAGCTTTAAAATTTATAAATAAAGATTAAAATATATTTTAAGACTATCACAAATATTTTCAGTATTAAAACCACATTTCTCGACACTATTTGAAGGTAGGCTCTAATTTGATTGTTTAGAGCCTAGGCTCTATACAAACCACACCCTTTTCTAATAGTAAAAAGTTTATATAGAGCCGAGACTCTAAACAATCAAATTAGAGCCCACCTCAAAAATTTTACTAGAAGATGTTGTTTTGATGCTTAAATATTCTCAAATTGATAATCTCAACATCAAGAGATATTCTCAAATTGATCATCTCAACATCAAAGATGCATGGACATGAAAAAAAAAACATTTCAACACCCGAAACACCGATTTTAAAAACCTTGAAGCATTAAATAAAGAAAAACGTTTATATAAAGTTGCAACCTTAAAATGTATAATTACATATGCACCTAAAAAATCCGTCAAAAAAATTGTTTTAATGTCGAAAAACCCTCTAATTGATCATCTCGACATCATGATGAATGAATATGAAAGGAAAAAGATTTTGAATCCCAGAAATAGTGCAAATTGAAACACATATCTAGACCATCTATTTTCAAGATTTTCATATATTTATAGATCCAATTGATTTTAATCATTTTTGGAGTTTAAAATTTTATAATTAGATATGAAGATAGGTTTTAAGATAATCCAAAAAAAATTTTACTCCAAAATTACGTGTGATGATAAAATTTGGAGGTGTGCCTTGATTGGATGGTTTGAGGTTGCAACCTTATATAAACCACACCTTTTTCACTAGAAGAGGTTATTTTGATGCTCAAATATTCTCAAATTGATATTCTCGACATCAAGATGCATGGACATGAGAAACGAATGGAATTCAAGGTTTGGAAATAGTGCATCTTGTAATGCATTTTTGGGCTATCAATTTTTAAGATTTTCATAAGTTTGCTCGATCTACACTATTTGAAGCTTTAACTTTTATAATTAAAGATGAAATATATTTTAAAACTATCACAAAGATTTGTAGTATCGAAACCACATTTTTCGACCCTATTTGAAGGTGTGTTTTACTTTGATTGTTTAGAGCCTCGGCTCTATACAAAATGCACCAGATCTAAAATGCCCCAAAGCTTGTTTATGGAATTATATATTATGAGACCATTTATTTTTGGGTGCGGTTTGTATAGAGTTGAGGATCTAAATAATCAAAGTAAAGCGCACATTCAAATAGTGTCAAGAAATGTGATTTTGATATTGGAAATCTTTCTGATAGCCTTAAAATATATTTTTATTTTTAATTATAAAATTTAAAGCTTTAAAAATAGTGTAGATCGAGGAAATCTATGAAAACTTGAAAATCTTGAAAATTGACGGTACAAGAACAAATTTAATATCCATTTGTTTTTCACGTGCATCTTGATGTCGAGATGATCAATTTGAGGATATTTGGGCATCAAAACAAATTCTTATAGTGAAATTTTTTAGGTAGGCTCTAATTTGATTGTTTAGAGCCTCTGCTCTACATAAACTTTTTCATTTACTTTTAATAAGTTACAATCATTATTAGTCATTAGATTTGATATTTAATAGATTGAAGTTTCACAATATTCAATAAATTTTATTTTGGATATTGTGCCTAGTCAATGAGATATCCCCAACCGCCTAATTTCACAATAATATTAATTATGATCTTCTTGTATCAAAAGTAGATGGTTTTATCGTTTATATTTCCTTTGTGGATCCATTCTTCTTTTTGTTTTTTTGGGGTGACAGAATAATTCACCAGCATGGGGTGCCACTTTTGGGCCAAGCCAACCCCAACTCAAGCATGGCCCAAAACAGTGTAGGATAGGGTTTGGTCTTGAAATTTTAGTTTCACGGCCAATGTTGCGCCAGCATGAATTCATAATAAGCCCGAGCCCAGCAATGGGCGCCAACACTAGCCTAGATTCCAAGCGGGCCCTACCTCTAGGGTGGCCCAAACCCATTAACTGACCTAAACCTAAATAAATCATTCTTTTTTCTTTTGATATGTTGATGAATGGAGGGTGAGACACTACGTTGACTCATCTACCATTTTTCAGTGACTAATAAGTCTACTATTTTCTATGGATTAATGTTATGAAACATATCAAGGAAAGTAGATTTTCACTTGAGATCCATTGGTTTGATTTACATGTACAACTACAAAATTAGACCTGTATGTACCCTTGGTTCTTATCTTTGGTGATAATGATGTGTTTTGTTGCTGTTCTATTTTCTATTATCTAGAATTATGGTTTATCTTGGTGTGATTTTGGGGATTTGAATCTAGTACTTTGGCCTCATGAAACTAACTGTCTATGAACTTTGCTATGAATGATTTTTAATAGTTTTATCCAAGATAATGAGTAGCACGATTTAAATGTTCTTGAAACTTTATATACTTGATCCAATAATTCGTCCAATATCATATGTCTAGATTGGATAGAGCCTTGGTTTCCAAGTCTTGGGAGTCATTGTTTCCTGAAACTATCGTAGAAGCTTTACTGCAATGATCCTCGGATCATGTGCCTATTCTATTAGATAGAGGGGGAGGATTTTGAGCTTACTCCCTTTAGATTTGAGCTGATGTGATTAGCAGATAAATCTTTGAGATAAGACGTTATTAATGAATGGTACAGTATCCATTCAATGTGTGGCCGGGATTTATCCTTGCTCAAGGCTTTAAAATAGATTTAAAATCAGGAAAAATGAGAGAATTAGACATTTCTCTCAAAATTAGACACAAGTTTCACATTAAATTGATTTCCTTATTCATTTGGAAAAATCGAATGGAGATTGAAAGAGGAGGAGAGAACACACAGACATAATTTAAAGAAAGAAAAGGTTTATATAAGGCTGAGGCTCTAAACAATCACTAAGGCGCAATTCAAAAATTCACTAGAAAAAATTGTTTTCATGTCGAAAAACAGTCAAATCAATCATCTCAACCTCAAGATGTATAAACATGAAAAAAAAGTTAGATTTCAAGTTTGAGAAATAGTGTATTTTGTAAAGCATTATCTAGGCCATCAATTTCAATATTTTCAAGTATTTATAGATTTGCTTGATCGACACTATTTTTTAATCTTTAAATTTTATAATTAGATATGAAAATAAATTTTCAGG